TGCTAGTATTGCAAAATGCAATGCTAATGCTACTGTTAAGAGACTATAGCAGCAGCAGATTAGATCTCCGCTTATTTGTATCAACTGTTCCAGTCTCCTTGGGGAAAGAGAAAACGAGATGTATTGCAGTGGAATGAGTGGGAAGCACTAGTCCAGCATAATTCTGCCAGATTCCTGATGGCAGTTCATTTTAAGTAGTTCATGCGTACATGAAGCTCAGACTGAATTTGTCCTTTCTCTAGCAGCAGACTCTAATCACGCCTGAGAGTTTTCTTCCTTCTAAGGCAAACTTCTGAATCAGCAGCTTGTAGTCATCTGGAAGCCTTTTCCTGTCATTGTTACTAACAGCTAGACATGGAAGCTGATTCTTCTTAAAATAATAATAATTATTAGCAACTACTTTTTTCTCTAGTCTTATGTATGTGTGAATATGCTGAATGTCCCAGTTAGATACAGCAGCAAAAATGCAGACAATGGAACAGGTGGTTTTAATATTGGTCTCTCCCCTCAGACATCTGAGCATCTGTAGTCCTGGCTCGGTGTCTAGTCTGATGCAGAATTCTGCATAACACTGGTTTTCTGGGTGCAGAAGTTTAGAGTTTGTCTTTTGAGGGGAGAGTAGAAGGGGAGTGCACTCTGTCTGTGCATTTACTCATCTTTGTGAGTGCATATACTTCTGCCTCTTCTTAGCTTGCCTCTGTGATTTGATTATCTGGGCTTCTGTTCTTGAAGCAAGTCAGAAAAAGGTATTCTCCTAGGAATTACTATTTGCACATTCCTTCAGGACCAAAAATCCTTGGACACAATTAAAGGGGAGTCTAAGCAGCATGATGTTTTTTTGTCTACTCCACTCCAAAGCCCTCTTTTCCTTTCTCTTCCTTTTAAAAAGTCTGCTCCCTTCCCTCAAGATTTCAGCCTTATTAACAAAGGCTTGGTGTACTTCACAGCAATTATTTCTTTGAATTCTCTCGTAGTGTCAACTGACTTTAATTTCTCAATCCTTATCCTATAGCTCTCAACTTGTGTGGGAAAATTATTGACTTATTGGTATATTAATACTGTATACATGAAATAAAGATTTATATGGATGATCATGTAAATGTTAGTCCAGCCGTGCCCTCCAGACGCCTTGGGTTTCTGCTGTCTTGTGCAGATACTACTCATTGGAACTGACTTTCTCTTTTAAGTGTCGTGGCTGTGTCTGGGTTTAACAGCTTGAATGTCTGCTCTTGAAGCTTCAGCTGGCCATAGCTATAAAGTTGTACTTCTGGCTGGCTCTTGGTCTCCAGCTGAAAAGCTGTGTTGTGCTTCTAGGAATTCAGTTCTATATTGTGAGAACATCAAGAGAACATGCATCCCAGTGGTATTGTTAACATGATAAGAGAATGGAAAGCCATGCTTGCTGCTTCAGAGGTGGCAGTGGAAGACCACAAAGTGTTGGACATTTTGCAGAACATGGTGTTTCTGGGGATTACTAGTCCAGCTAATTGTTGAAATAAAACTTAAATTTCTGTAAAAACTTCACAGTTGACTCCAGTTTATAGTTTAAAAATAGTCTGTAGTTTAAAACATTAACCTTGTATATAAGACTGTATCAGTTAATTTTAATGGCACCTACTGAGGGCTATCTTAATTGCAAGGTTAGACACAGCAACTTCTTCAGAAGCTGAGCTACTTCTTTGATTTAGACATAAATTGTAATACTGATGCTGTATTCATTCATCCTCATTGCCTCCTAAAGCACTTCAAAATACGTTGGCCATATTTACATTTGGTTGTTGCAAATGTTATAAAGCTAGAAGGGCACGACTAACTGAAGAACCTTGTGGTGCTTTTAACAGAGATAGTTCATATCTACTTAGAGCTGGCTGTCTGAATGTAGTCCTGGGCAGCCAGATCTTAAGTGACCCTGCTTGAGCAGGAGCACTGCAAAAGATGACCTTTGGAGATTTCTATTGATCTCAGCTATTATGTGAATGTGTGAATTAGTTAAAATATTGTGCCAATTTTTTTTATTAAACTCTCCAAATTGTACACACCAGAGTTTATGCAAGTCCTTGTGCTGAACTACAACTTATGTCTCTGTCTGCGTGGCGAAGTTTGTCTTCCTGTTGGAATTTTCATGATGTTGTGATGTACTGTAAAAATTCAGATAGGCATTTTCCTGCCTCTGCCCTCTGCAACCAAACCAAGAGAAAAACACAAAAAACATTCTAAGATTGTTTTTTTTTCATTGAATAAATTGCATCAGAAAAGAACTCAGGAAGCCAGGTTTTGTGAACAGGCAGCTGTTTTCAAAGTCAGATCATGTTGTTCAGGGAGTTGTCTGGTTAAATTTTGTATTTGAAAGGATGGAGATTCCCCTGCATTGCTGGGACATTTGTCACATTCCTGAATGTTTTGTTCCTTAGTGCTCAGCTGGAACTTCACTTGCTGTGACTTGTGACTGTTGCTTCCTAAGCAATTGCTGCACACCCTTGAGGAGAGTTATCCCTGACTGCTCTGTGCTCCTTTGGGCACTTAGAAGATTGTTGGGGTTTGCTCTGTCCCTTCACTTTCTCCTCTGGCTAAATAAGGCCAGTTCTCTTAGCTTTTCCTCATGGATTGTGTGTCTTCACAGCCCCAATTGTCCTTCTTCACTCTGTCCAACTTATTAGTGTTGCTCTTGTGTCCACTTGGGTCCCCCTGACCCAGTACTCAGATGTGGCTCCTCAAGGGACAGGTAGAGGGAATAATAATTTGTCTTGACCTCCTGGTTACATTCAAGATAATGCAGTCAAATTGACATTAGTCCCCATTGCTGGGAGAACACACTTATCTTTTTTCCTCTAAGGAGAGAATATCCTTAATCAGGAGTTTTCAAAAGGCAGTGAGTGGTATGCTAGATTTCCTAGAAAATTGCCCATTGAGTTTACAGGTCACACTGTTTTCATCTGCAAATCAAAGGATACTCTGTCATTTCTGGGCCTGTCATTGTTAGGCTCATTTGATTTATTGCATGAAGTGGTAAACTGCTCTCATATTAAGGAGTTGGAACTTTAAAAAAAAATATGCATTATGGTCATAAGTTCAAGATATTTAGCATTTTAGAAGTTCTCATTTATCTTAACGTTTTGTAGGCAAAGTAGTCATTGCTTAAACTGCAGTGCTTTGGTAATAAATGCCAATGGTTGGCAACGTTTTCATAACTTTAAGCAAGAGTTGTTTTTTTGTTTTTTTTTCTTTAAAGCATTCATTTTCCGTATAACAAAATGTATGAGAGCTGCTTTCTTTCTGGTTGCTGGGAGGTTGCCTATGAGAGCCTTAATTTGTGTAGATCTGGCACCGCAGTTCAGCCTGCTGTAGTCTAACATTTACAAGTAGTCAAATGAAAGGGGAAGCGTGTATTCCTGGCACTGTCAGGTCATTTTGGCAGAGGTTGGCTGCGTAAGTGCTTGAACATGTTGACTTGCAGAAATTGCTTTTTTGGCTTGGAAAGGAAGAGTCTATGAGTGATGCAGAACTAGTGCACACAAGTTTTTAATGGGACCAGTGTTTGATCAGTGCTTCTTACCTACCAGAAAACAAGCGGAATTGCATTCATAAATGCTTACTCACATCCTTAGTCTTTAAAAAATAAAAGAGAGAAGAATGGTTGGATTGTGATAGTTGGAGACCAGAGAAGGAACTTCAGTGGCTGGTAATTGCATTTTTTTTGTGGCTGGAAACATCCAAACTCTGCAGGAATGTAATTAGCATTGCAAACAGAATATATGCAAATTTGTATCAGCTTTCTCCATGTTGGTATATATTTTTTTGTTTATTTGTTTCTCAGTCCTATGTTATTCTTGTCTTCTCACTGCTTGATGATACTTTGCCTGATGAGTTTATATATCCCTGGAGAATGAAAGACAGAAACCAATTATATTTCAGCCAAAGAAAACAATTTTCTTTCTTATCAAAGATTAGAAAAAAGATGGTCTTGCTCCATTTGTTTCTTTTTCTTCCTTCCCTCTGTTCAAATAATTATAATAATAAAATAAAAAAGCATCTTTTTGATTGCATTGAATAAGCAGAAGTTGCAAGTCCATTGAGGATGGTAGATTTACTCTCTCTGTATAACTAGAATTGGTATCTGCCTGTGTTTCTATTATAGAATCATAGAAAGGGCTAGGTTGAAAAGGACCTCAATGATCATCGATGTCATCTCATCTGTAATTTGGGATGTACAGTTCACTGGAGAAGAGATATTTGAAGACATGGCACAGTTTATGGCCTCTTTGAACTGAGGCCCTTTTTTCCACGTGAGATGTCAGCTGTTATTCCAGTGCATGTTTGTAGTATATTATGTAGGGCTATTACAGATTGACTATTGCCTAAATCGTTCATCTGTCCATCTCTTCAGAGTAACAGTAATCAGGAAAAAAATAAAATAAAAAAAAATCAGTGTGATTCACATGTTTTCTTTCAGACTGTTTGAGACTTGGTAAGAGTGTTCAACTTTGGTTTTGTTCAGTGTTCAAGAATATCACCATCACTGAGTGACCTTTGCTGGTCTCTAGCAGACTGCCACGAGCCATGCGCGTTGTGCTTGTGTGTAGCGGATGTGCTGGCTCTCTTTTTAGGAGCATGTTTGAAGTAGTTTTCCTTTGTAGTTCAAGAGCTAAGGGGGAAAAAAGAACAAATGATTTAACATTAAAAAAAGACAAGTGTTGCAAACTGCAAGATCTAGGCCTGTATGCATTAAAGCCAGTCATTATCTATAGCCTTATTTAGCGAAGAAGCCATACTCTTTGGGCACTGAGTGTTAGATATGTGAAGAGTACTTTTGAACTTTGGTCCATTTACAAGTATGAAGCGTTTTTCTATTGCACTTTACCCCTATCTAAGGATAAGTGAGGTGCAACGAATGAGAAAATCATTTCATTTTCTTTCTTTTTACGTTTGGAGAAACCAGATTAAAAATAACTTAATTCGGGTGTTACCTTGTGGTAAACTGCTTTTATTTTTATTCTTAACAGTACATTCTTTCGGGTTCTGATGACTTCAATTTGTACATGTGGAGGATTCCTCCGGATCCAGAAGCAGGTAAGTTTTTTATTATTATTATTATTTCAGAAATTTGGGTTTAGTCAGGGAATGTGTCTGACATACTAGTTTGCATTTTCAACAATTGCTGTTTTCACTCAGCCACTATTCTAGAATTATTTGAGTGAAACCTGTAAGGATAGTCATAGGCTATACTACGTGAGTCTGTGATATAGTAATTTTCTTCTTATTTCTGTTCCAATATAACTATCATCTAAATCTTCTAGAGGAACTGGCTAAGGGAAGGAGCTATGGCTGGAGGCAGATTCTGTCTTTTCTCCCTCCTGTCTACCGACTTCGCTGCTTCTAAGCTGAACTGAGCTCACTGAAATACATAGGGTCTTGCTAAGAAATTTCATCCCAGGAAGAAGCTTGCAGTATAAAATGCTTCTGGGTTTCCAGACTGCTCCTTACAGTTCCAGTACGTTGGTCTGTTCTGTACAGTGCACCTGCCTTTTCTTTTCCTCCCACCCCAAGACCCTCACGCTGAATTCTACTACAGAGCAGTTATTCTCTTGGGCTTTCTGAGTGGGGGAGTGCTGCTGCTGGTAGAAATTACTGCTTTGGGCTATTTTTGACTGTTCTCAAGGTGAGGCAGAGGTGCGAAGAAAGTAACTGTAGCAAAATCTGTGTAAAAGAATTGAAGAGCTGATGTTGAGTAAAGAAAAGCAACAGGCTGGGATGTAACAATAGCGTTTGCAAATGCCACTCTTGGTCAGTGCCTGATGTTATATCATTCAGTGATATATAGAGTTTGGCAATACAGCATCATCCATTATTACCTCTGGGCCATACAATGTCAGCATCTCTAAAATGTTGGAGTGGTTTTGTATTTTCATTAAATCTCTGGGTAAATCTACTGTTTCTATTTTGAATGACTTTCACAATTTAAATCGTGCATCTTAATGGTATTAAGGACAACCAAGTGTTATTTCATGATTTTGAGGTACTCCAGCAATAGTGAGAACAAATTACAATCTGCCATGGAGTTGAAGTGAGAAGATCTTGTTTCATTTTAGAAGGCCATTCATCACCATTGTTTAATTGAAGCTAAGAGGATAGTTTGCCTCTAAAAGGTTTGGTTACCAGTAGAGTTTTGAGTAAAATGTCATTTGAATCTTGGATTGGTTATTCAGTGAACATCTGGTGTTGCAGTCCAGAAGTTCTGAAGATGGTCCTGTTAAAAATGCCAGTTCCTCATCCCAGTGTCCTTTGTTATATACCTTACAGAAACATCCCTCTGCTTAGCTTTTAATTTGTATGATTCTCTTTTTGTTTTATTATATTTTTGTTAATTATGGAATTTCCTTCTCTTTAATATTCAAATGCACGTAACATTTGTCTTATTTATCAGTAAGCTTTCATTTGAGCACTGTAGAATTACATTTTATGCATGTTACTGTACTTGTCCTGACTGTATAAAATTAAGGTTTTTGTGTTTGGCTGTAATACTCCTGAATTTTTTTTCTGGATAACTGCAGGTGACAAACTTTTTATCTGGGATCTTTGCACAGAGTGGTAACTAGAATTATTTCAAAACAATGTCATATGTGTTTCAGTCAGCTTTTTTGTTTCTGATTCTTCTAACTTGAGGAAGGGTGTCAGTAAACTTGCAACATTTCAGTTACAAAATTAATTACTTAATGTCAATTGCCTTCAGTACTTGCTTAATGGGATCAGAAGGTCCTGCAGTAGGAACTCGTGTGTCTTAGAGAACTGCTCAATTTACACAAGATTTATTGGAAGATTTTGGAAAGGCTTAGTTTTGATAAACACAGAAATTCTGTTTCTGTGGCAAATAACACATTACCCATCCAAGTCACCTGTGATAGTCTTCTTGAAGCTTTTCTTCACTCAGCTCTTGAAGGGTTGTGCTTGTTCTGATTGATGAAACATCCTCTTTAAAATGCGATTCTGTGGTTTATAATAGTTCATCTGTAGAGTTTGCTCTGCTTCCTTCTTGAAAAAGAAGTCTTGTTATCATGTGTGGAGACCTTAAAAACCTTCTGCTCCTTATTTTCACATTCTAGTTTAATTGAGGAACATATTTGGGTCTGTGGTATTAAGGGATAGAATGTGGTTTTTCATTTAAATATTTCACAAACTAGACAGGATGATATAATGTCCTGTTGGTCACCGTTTTAAATAACAGCAGTGTCCTAACTGATGTCTGTTGAATTCAGACACTTGCTATAAATATTTATGGTACAACTCCCTTAAATTATATCACTTATTAGTAAATAACTTACTTGCAAGCATAAATCTTTTTAGAGATTGTCTCCTTAGGGACAGCTCTGAAACAGTTCCCTTTGGTTATGCTCAGGTATAGCTACTACTTGCTATCTAAAGGCTAGCAACGATACTAAAAAAAGATAAGGAATGGAAAGAAACACACCAGTCAAGCAACTGCAAGTTTATTTTATATTGGAAGAATCCAGTTACCAGCTTTGAAAATTTGCCTGGAAAATTGAGCAAATTCTGGTATTTTTTTGCAAATAATCACAATTCAGAAATGTCCTACCAGTAGGTCGCTTTGAGTTGTTTTCCTTCCGCTGGAGATTCCTCCAGTGGTTTTGTTCAGACTAGTTTTTTAAGACAGGATTTATGTGAAAACTGGGGAGGAGGAAAAGGTATTCCCTAAGCTGCTTAAGAGGCTCTTTGGTTGAAGAATCTTGCTGACTGTCTCTCTCTACAAGTTTAGATTGTTTAAAACAGGCCGGGACTTCCAATGCCAAAAGAGTTGCTTTTGAATCACCTATTGTCCTTACTTGAAAATAGAATACTTTGTTGGTTATTCCACTTCCTTCTCCATCCAGCTTTCCACTATTGCTTCAGAAGTAATTGCCAGTTTGTTTGGTAAGTCTGTTAGCCAACTTCCTCTTTGAAGCATTTATTCTATTTTCTTCAGAGGCAAAGTTTCTAGCAAAATATATACACTGGTCTGGTAGAAGAAAAGCAGCCCTGAGTTTCCATGACATTTATCTGACTTCAAGGCAAGCTAGAAGTGAGAAGTGACCTGTTCAGCAAGCCTGTTAAACAGCACAAACACTTCAGGCAGTATTAGAACAATCTCCCATAAACATGGTCTCTAGGTAAAGAATCTCTGTTCAAGACAGAACCTGGCATGTCTTGTGAAGTAATGGAGGGTTTGGTAGGGCTTTACATTCCTCTGAATCGCTACTCTGAATCATCTTTGTAATTCAGAGTCTTTTTTCTCTTGCTTTTGAAATACTCCTCTAAGATGCTGTGTGATGTGCGTGATATTTAGTTGTGACTGGAAAAAGGCAGTCTGCAATCCTTCAGTTTACATTGTCAGGCTCTTACCAAACTTGCAAAAACTTTACTAAATCAGAACTGCAAACTGATTCAAAACCTCTTTTTAATTCTGTCTTTGACTGCAATTGCTAGCGAGAAAGGGTTTGATGTTGTGGTACAGTTACTAAACTAATTGCATGAATTTGCAGCAAAACTGATGCAATTTTTTCTTCCCTTTTTCTTGGTCACTGTAAATGCACTGCTCTTTAGATTGAAGGATTCAGCAGCAGATCTTTTAATAACAGCTGAACAGGGTTGTCTCATTGGAGACAACTTGTGGTTTCAGCTTCCTGAGTTGCAGGCTGACAGATGAAGATGAACAATCAATGATTAGTTGCTTCATAATGCCTAATTATTTTTGAACTTTTATGTATGTGCACACTTGGGGGTCAGTTTTCTGACTCCACTTACAGGGGAGAATGCCCTGGAAGCTTAATTTTTTTTATTTTTTTATTTTTATTTTTTTTCAGTAAAAATGTGCTTGTTTGTAAGCAGTGGTCTTGGGATCATTTTGCTTTTAGGACTGTAGTTTGTCTCTTCCTTCAGGTCAGTGCTGGCAGCAGTGTGCTACAGGACGTTTGTGCAGTGATTGCAGCAAGTCTGCAGTGGGGCAGAGCCACAGGAGTCATCTCAGATCAAGAAAGGGATTAGAGTGGGAAGGGTGTGCCAAGGTTCATTTTTATAGTAAATTTGTCATTTGCTTTCACACTGTTGCTTGTCTCTACCAGTAACAATAGAAGGACGGTTGGCACAGACAAGGTATGGATACTGCAGGGATTTAGCAACAGCAAAAGTAGGGACAAAACAAATGTCCAAAAATAGCCTCTGCTACTACAGCTTTCCACATATTCTTTAGATGTTTAAGGGTGATTTTTTTTTTTTTCTTTGGCTTTTGGAAGCTTTACGGAGGTCTGAGATCACCACAGGGTTGGCTAGAGGCCAGTGAGGTGCAGTAGGGATTGCCTGGAAGGGCAGGTTGCCCAAGGCAGCTGCTGACACCAACCCACTACTCCATGTGCTTTCACTGGTCCTTTCACCTGGAGTGAGCAGTGCTGGGCTGGTGGGAAGATGATGAAGGTGACAGCCTGCAGCTAGTGTTGGAGCTGCTTTCTTATGGAAGACACAGCCTTTTGCTTTCTCCTGGAGCAGCAGGAGTGCTAAGCCAGACTTCCCTGATGCCATCTCCCAAACCATCCCTTACCTTGCTGAGAGGAAACAGATTCTCAGCTAGCCCTTGCTGTTCTCACCTCGTCTTTGGTGTGACCAAAGGCAGTTTTGCTGTTGAGAAACCTCAAGTTTGCTCTGGCTGCTTCTACAGCTGGAATCAGGTCCTGGTCCTGCTAGTGGATATGTTGCAGGAACCTGTGCCTGGGCAGCAGTGTTTGTGTTTAAGTTTCACTATAGACAGGTCTCTGAGGAGCAAAACAAATGGGGGTGTGTGAGTGACCAGAGACTTTGTAAGGGCTTTAAACATAATCAGTTGTCCCAAAGGCAGAGGTCTTGTATGCTAGAAATATTTGTTTGCTTGACTGGTGCAAGAACATGAAGCAATGTCAAAGTTCTTTGGCATGCAGCAGTGCTGTTGCTCTCTCCCATGAGCACATTGTGACCTCATAGGATTCAAATGTGGGGTTGTGGCCTATGGTCTAAATGTGTCCTGTATTGTTATTAATGAAAACCAAATTATTTTTAAGTTAGATTTTTATTGCAGTGCCAAGTACTACAGTCAAATGGCATGCTGTGGCACACTGGCAGCAGCTGTATATATCTGGTTCTTCTCAGGAGCTTTCAGTGCTTTGAGTAATTCACAAGGCGTGTATGAAGTTATGCATTACTCTATGGAGCATCTTTCTACCTTATATGAACAACCAGCAGTGCTGCTTTTGCAGTGTCCTAGATAGGAAGGACTTCTTTTTAATGAGGTCATTTAATTCCTCTGTTACAGTGAAGATTGTTCCTTATCCCAGGAAATTCTCCAGTGATTTGAATTGTTAAAAATATTTGTAACATAGCAGCTTTCGTTACTTTAAAGACTGTCTCATGTTCTTAGAGGATTTCTGCACTAGGGTGCTCTTTGTAATATTCACTTCCCTCTTTTCCTTATTCTCCAAATAATTTCTACCATTGTTTATTTGGTTTAAATACTGCTATGTGTTGTGAAACTTATGCATGGGAAGTCAGATTGCTGCCCACATAGCTTGCTCTCACTTTTGTTTTACTAGCATGTGCTTGTTTGTTTTTAATTTCTTGGTGTGTACCATCAAGCATGTTTCTTAAATTGAGAGCATCAACTTATTTTCATAAATATGCAAAGCTGCATAATTATTAGGGTTTCATTAGCATAAAATTTAAAACGCAAATAATAAAACAAGTCAATATGTAATCCCTTTGGTAACTTAGAAGATACCCACTACTTTCAAGGCACTGTACTGTTGTTTCCTTCTGTCTATATTGTAGCATGTGGATATGCCTTGGTGTTACCACCATCTTGTCAAATGTGTGTAGAAGAAGCAGCTTTTAAAAATGTATATTTAAAGATGTACACTTCAAATCTAAACTTTAACAAGTGGTTTGTTCCATCTGCTCAAATAGCAGAGTAGGACATTATTTAAAGAATTTTTTGAGACTTTGTATTGCTTCAGAGCACCTATTTGTAGGGTGTAGGAAAAGGGATTTTCCTGATGTTTTACTTTATGTACCACATAAAAACAAAAAAACACTGATTAGTACAGCTAGAACACTAAATAACTAATCAGAACTGTCTTTAAGCATAGTAATTTTTGGAAAATATTACAAGACCAGCTGCTGTATTTCCATCCCCGCTCCTAGTGGTTAGGAAGTGAGAAACATTCTAAATTCTGTGTGAATAATCAGCTTGTGAAGAATTTTAAAGTAAATAAATTATTTAATAATAACATGTGTCAGCTCTATCTGTGGCTTCTGTATGAATACTGCATATACAAATGTGTAACTGGGAATATAAAAGCTGTCATGCTAACCCAGCTGCGCAACCTGTGCATGCCACTAAATTCAGAAGCTAGCCATTGCTCCACCCCCAACAAACTTCAAAAACAAAATCTGAGATTTGTTGGGATAACGGAGGTGAAATCAGGCAAATAAAAATATCATTTTAAGTGAAGATAGCAATACCAATTTGATTATTGCTGTTCCGGCGACTGTGCCACTAACCAGCTTGATTCACATGATGGTTTGACCATAGCATGCTACTCATCATAGTCTTGCTTGAAAGCAGTTGAGATGTTGCTTTGCAGCATGAATAGGCAAGAATTTCTGAACTAATACTCTCAGAAGCGTGGTTTGCATTTTAGGTGGCTCTGTGGGAAGCTGGGAGTTGGACTCGATGATCCTTATGGATCTTTTCCAGCTCTGAATATGCTGTGATATTAGAATGGAAGATGGATGGCATCAGGAATTTGAGCGGCCAACCTCAACTTAATGTACAGTTGCATTTTATTTTCCCTTTTTTTTCATTTTTTTTTCTTTTGCCAGCAGACATAAGCAGATCGTATTCATGCTGTGAGATGGCTAGAAACTGTAAGGCTGCAGCTAAGTCTCTGCTGAGCCTGGATTCTTGAGAGACCGGGGCATTCCAGACAAGTCTGAACATGAGTCTGCTGCAGAGATGCTCATGTAATAGGATATCAGCTTTGCTGTGCTGCTATAATATATGGAGGGATATACTGAGAGGATAGAGAAGACTCTGCATTAAGCACTGACTTAGAGATATCACTGAAGTTTGTAGGAGTTGGTAGACTAAAATTGCATCAGGCAAAGGAATTCTCCAAAATGAGGTTCTGGGACAGCCTCTTACATTCAGCACTAAGATTATTGGGGCCTTGCTGGAGTCAGTGCTTTTTATTTTAAATAATTGAAACCTTTCACACTGCTGGAAAAGGCAGACTGCTAAGCTTTGTGATTCCACTAATCACGAAGTTCATGAGGACTTTTCCCGTAATTGGCAGTTAGTTGTTTTAAGGGGCTTTGTGGAGAAGTTCGATCAAGTTCACTGTGAAAGGAGTGAAGCATGTTCTAGGACTGTGCTTCATCTGGTTTTACTATTAACAGCTTGAAAGGTATGATCTTTAATTTATGGAACTTTAGTACTAAAAGCAGAAAGCTTTGGAGTTCAGTCACACTGACTGAATATGAAAAAGGCCCAGGGAGAGCTTGTTCTACATGTGGCATGCTGTGTACTCTTCATCCAGTGCTCTTGATTTATTTATAAATATCTGAAGTTTCAGAAGATGGTTCTGGCATTAAATAACTGTTAATACTGTCCTACTAGGTAAATAATCATGGGTTAACTCAGTGCTTGATGGTCCCACAAGTGGCCAATGACTAACTTAGAAACGCAGCCCAAGTTATGATGCCCTAAATTTGTATATCATTTCTGTTAGAATTCTTTATTTGTTCATTGTTCCTCTAACTTCTGAGTTTTCTGTAAGTGTCTCATTGGGCATATTTGTTGTTTTCTACTGAATTCAGGCAGCTGGATCCTGTGGTTGATTACAACTTATTTTCAGCATTACTTACAGGCTTGGAAACATTTCCTAAGCAAATTGTCCCTTAGGTCCCAAGGCCTTCTTTCCTGGAACATTTGTCTGCTGGGTCAGGACAAACACATTGAGAACTGGACTTGATGTAACCATGTACAGTTGGCTTGATAGACACAATTGGATTGACAATTGTGATTAGTCTGGAAAGAATGCTGTGGGAGTAGGGCAATTTGCCATCAGCCACAAATGTGGTCGTGAACGTCTGTTGGGATGAGTGGAATGAAAGGTTGTGAAGAATCTGAAAGAAAGGAAAAGAAAATTAAAAGAGCCCAATCGAACATTTAATGAACTATTGCAGGTAGCTCAGTCTCGCAGCAATTCTGATGAATGCATCTTGAAGGTAACTGGAATGATCTTGCTTTCCAATTAGTTGAATTATAAATCAGCCTTAATTTTGTAGACAAATTTGATGCATAAAGTTTTATTTGCTTTTTTCTTGATTTGGTCATCATCTCTCTCCATCTTTCTTTCCTTTTCAGGTATGCTATCTTTCTGTCTCGAAGTGTTATGATACTGCAGTTTGATCTGCAAAAAATGATCTGAGCAAATAGATCTTTACAGCTTTTGGAAACTTTTCTGTTTGTAGACAGGCCTGAGATTATTAGGTGTTGGGTGACTCCCCATTTCTGAATCCTTATCACAGTTCGTACGCATCAGTCTGATATTTTGGGTTTAGTTATGGGTGGAAGGCATGGAGTACCTTTAAGGGGAGAGGAGGAAATGGATGTAAACTCCAGTTCTTTGTCATTTATGTAACTTAAGAAATAGAAGGTGATACAGGAACTTTTTTTTTTTCTCCATTTTGACAATTTTGTCTTGCTGTTATACTTCAGTGATAAAGCAAGCTTTTCCTCAGGAAGCTTGTTCTGTAGGAGAACTCCTGTTTCAGAAGACAGGCTGTTCAACACTGGGTTTAGGGCTCAAACCCAGCAGCTATTTCAGCTGAAAGATCTCCTCTTTGAAGACAGAGGAGAAGAGCGAGCAACTTACAATGTCCTTACAACATTTGGATTTGTAAAGAGCAAGGTTGTTTTCCTCCGAAGTGGTTTTCAGCTTTTACTTCCTGTCTTCTATAAGTCTCGTTTTTTTCACTTACACTGTTAGTCATAGCATGTTTATTGAATCTTGTTTATTCAGATATGGAGATATGCTTTCCAACGTATCTATGGTTTGTTTATGTGAATATATATATTCGCAGATTACATTTTTAAAAACAGACAAAAAAATTGAAACCAGCTGTGTGATGAGTTTCTTTCTTCGGTGTATAAACTTAGTAAGAGTCAATAACCAGGCAGAAAAAGTTGTCTAACTTTCATTTTGAATTTTATAGTTGCTGCAATAGTATTGCACTTCAGCTAATTCCCTATCCTTTTGAAAAGAATTATACAACCCACTGGTCAGATTTGTTATTTCAGGTCCATCTTTAAGCTTGAACAGAAATATGAGCTGATATAGATCTTGATCTAGAGAAGGCTGCACTAAATCTAACTGTAATATGGTAATTAAGGCTAGTAGTCCTAAAATTGATTCCCCTAAATTCTTATCCATTGGACTAGGGTCAGTTATGACTGCAATGAATTGCTAATATAAAAAAATAGAGCTATTAAAAAGCCAACTTCTTTATTTGTCTTCACATTCACAAGCTGAGTAGTGTCATGCCTTAGGCAGTAAAGTTTCACTGGTGATTTCATAAAGTATGTATGTTGTTCTTATTCACACACTTGTCATGTTGGGTCAAAAACCTTTAATGTTTGTTTAGATGGTTGAACTAAAGCTAACTTCCAAGTCCTAATTTACAGGAAGGATGCGTTTCATCAGACTTGCAGCTTTTCATAGGGGCATTACTCATAAAATTGGAATTCTGCAGCCAGCACATGCCTTAAGTATTGCAGAAAGCTGAAGCACATTGTCAAATATAATGACTTTATATGATTATAAATGAATGCAATATGGACACGTAATTATTAATTTCAGTTGTTTTTGTATTTCCCCTAGGTGGCATTGGCAGGGTTGTCAATGGTGCCTTTATGGTATTGAAAGGTCATCGGTCAATTGTAAACCAAGTCCGGTTTAATCCTCACACTTACATGATCTGTTCTTCTGGTGTTGAAAAGATTATAAAGGTAAGATTAGTTGTCAGAAAACATGTTCTTTAACTAATTCAGTAAGAAGTGTTTTGTTTTGTTCAAATCCTTCAGATAATTTTTTTCCTCACACCCTCTGTCTTCTCATTGTGTTCTTTTCTAAGAAGCTGTGTCTCATTTGCTTGGTTAAGATTATGCAAATGTTTTATTGGGTTTTTCAACTTTAAACTCCATTTCAGTTCTAAAGGTTTTAGAGGTAAGGGGTAAGATCAGGATTACATGAGTTTGTACCTCAAGAAAGACTTTCTTGTTCCTAGCTTCATTCTTTGTTCCTGAAGTACCATACAAAGTTTGGTCACAGCCATAGTATGTGGTCTTTTAAGACTTCTAATACTGTGTGTGAAAAGTTTAATACATCCTTTCTGAATGGTGTAGTTGAACCTTAACATAGCCTGACCTGAACTTAGTCCAGCTACTGCTTCAGGATACCTGTAATTTTTGTGCACGCCTGCATTAGATCACTTCAACATAAAGTTCTGTGGCTTCCAGACACTGTGTATGTTCTCTGAATTATATAACAATTTAATGTATTTTTTTGAAACTTGTCTTGTTATATGAAATGCAAAGAGATGGCATTGTTAAGCTCTGGATTTTTCTTTTTTCCTTAGAGAAAGACAGCCAGTATTGTGGGAGCAAGACAGATTTTTTTTTGTTGTTTTTGACAGTAGGGGTTGAAGGTGGAGAGGCAGGGGATTATGATACAGTAATGCACTTTGCATTCTGCTGCTCTAGAGATTATGCTATAGAAATTATATAAATTATCTGTCTATCAATCATAGGAAAGAAACCAGAATGATTAATTTTTAAGTAGGATTATAACCAGTGCTGCTACTTCACATTTGTTCAGTATTTTCATAAAGATCTTACCTCATTTATAGCCATATGCAGGAAATTTACGTCTCAATAATAACAGATACTTTAAGCAGCTACAAATTAGCAGAATTAATTTGTCCTGAAAAGGAATACTTTAATGGTCTGCAGCATGCAGACCAGAAGTGGCCCTAATTCCTTAGGACCATGGCCCAGTGACTGCTACACCACTTGCTTTAAAGCCTTTGGTATCTGATCCTAGTTCAACTTCTCTGTCTTCTACTGATACTTTAGTTTGCTTTTCTTTATTTTCCTTCATCTGTCCCTCTGACAGGTTTGTATGCAAATATCTTGGTCATAAATCTATTGAATACAGGCTCTGAACAAAAGTGCACTGAATAAGTGTAGCAGCTCACTGACCTTTCAATTTCCAAGCAGCCAATCTGCCATTGTTTAAAAGCAGTTTGGCCAGAGGAATTTATTTGCTTTGGGAACTTGATTTGTGCAGTCTGAAGCCTTTCTTTTGGATTTTTAGATCTGCTGACCCTTCACCCTGTGGATCCTTCCTGCATGAGTGTGCTTAGACTATTGGATTAGCATTGGTATAAACATCCCCTGTGCTGCTTTTGTGTACTTCTGCCAGGGTTTTGTTTTTGGTGGGTTTTTTTTGCTTTGTTTTGTTGCTTTTTTTTTTTTTTCTGCCTAGTGATTAAAAGGCCAGTTTGAATGAGGATCCTGTCACAGGTTGTGTAACTCTTTGAAAGATATCTCTGGTTGAATGCCTCCTTAAAAGGGAATGCCTGTTCTGTCACGCTGTGAGCAATGAAACTTTTGTGACAACCTTCAGCAACTCAACTCCTTGGACAGTGCAAACTAGAGGAAAATCAAAGGAAAGGTGTACAAAGTTTGACAGAGCCAGAACTTCTTACCTTTTGTTGTATATTGTGCCCTCTTTGGTGATCAGATTGTTTTAAGGCTCCTGTCTTGTCTGATCTGCATGACTTTACTGCTTACAGCATTGTCTTAGTCAACTGCAAAATGCTCTTTACTAGGTGCTGGTGGTTTCTTCTCCATTTCAGCTCCTTCTACAAATAGATTGGAGGATAGTATCAGCCGCTAGCAATAGAGAAAATCTAGATGACCTAATCTAGGTGTTCCTGCTCTGGCAGGGGCATTGGACTAGGTGATATTTTGAGGTCCTTTCCAATCCCTGATGTTCTGTGATTCTGGAAGGGGGGAGGGGGGGAAAAGGAAAAATGGCACCGGCAGTTCTGAGAGACTTTTGGATCTGTCTGGCACAGTAATGCAGGAGCAGCTTGAGGAGGGGAACCTTGAGGGAGCAGAGGAAAATGTGACTGAAAAATGTGGATGGACTGAGGAATGAGGGAGCAAGGAGAACACTTGAGAGGGGAAATAAATAAGTAAAGGTGGTGGTGACTGGCAGGAAGGTGGAGGAAGTGATGAACTGAACACCTGAGAAAGACAACTGGATAAGCAGTGGAAGAGGTTTACTGCAACCTGTGCTATTTACTGCATTGAAAACAGCTGAGCACACAAGTCCTTCCTGTCTATGGCTGTCTTTCCCCCGCACAGATGCTTGAAGTGCTTGCCTCTAGAAGTGGAGGAGATGAGAGGAGGAGCCATACATAAAAACTGCAGCTAATATTTCTTTGTTTTAATCAACTCCTTCAGAAGTGTCTGTCCTTCAGGTGTCTTCTAAAAATCTCTCTGGAATTAAATCATAAGAGAACTTCATAGTGATTGTCTGATCTTCCATTCCCTCTGTTGTAGAAACTGTGAGAATTAGAATATGGATGCAAGTGGTTGGTTTGTCTGAGCCCTTAATTTTTAGACTAGCTGGCCTAATTTTAGTACTTGTAGAAGCGAAGAACTGATAGCACCAGCATCAAGGCATGATACAGACAAGCCATTCAATAATGCCGTGTGCTTCTGCCAACACACTTGCTATTTTAATGCTGATTGCAAATGAGATACAAATTCATCTCAAGCCTAGTTTCACTGAAATTGATAGTATTAACAAGAATGATTTTGACCTTTTGGTAATGTTTTTTGCTTTATTTTAATCTTGTTTTAAGGCACCTGCAGGAATATAATTAACTCTGTAGCTTAAGATTTGATTTCTGCTAGTAATGAGAATACAGTGGTTAATTTGGAGTGTGTATGTGTTCAAATCAGACTTTAGAAACCTAAAATGAGATTTAGAAGCTTGTTAATAAAGGAGAATTAAGCCTCCACTCCAGATGTATGCTGGCATTGACCCAGCTGAATTGTTCATTGTCCTCCATTTCAGAGACCTGAACCTCAGAAGCACAGTATGAGAAAGCACAGCTGTGTACTAAAATTAACACCTTGCAGCAAGCATTTACCACTATGGCTAAGCAACACAAAATAGGAAAAAACACCTCTTTTTCCTCAGTTTAGTGTAAGACATTGGGATGTGCCGGCAAGAATGAATTTCATTACAGAAGGAATGAATGAGGCATTCCCTGTAATGTGTGGGGCTTAGAGGTGGGCCACAGAGAACTATGAAGTTAGAAGACGGTTCCAGAAAAGATAAAATGGATAAAGCTATAAGGATTTTTAGCAATAAATACTGTTTTGTGTTGGAAACGGAGTACTTTGTAACGGTAGTTTTGAGGACAACTGTTATAGGACCCATCTATTAAACAATCATCAGTATGTCAGAGATAGCAAAGTCTATTTGCCCTTGTTGCTATGGTGACAGATGAATGTCACTGTAGTTAACTGCCTTTGCCTAATCAGATAATCTAATATAGCTGGCTTTAATTATTCTCATGCTAACAGCATAACTACTTCTTTTAAAAATTTGGGGTTTTGCCACCATGGAATACAAGAAATTAAAATATGCTTTCTGAAGCATCTTTGTTGAAGTAGAGAACTAGTTTTGTACTCTGTTATTGTTCCTATTTTTGTATCTGTACTTGGGGCATCAGTGACTAATGTTCAGCTCCTTAATCCTCTGACAAGGGAAGAACTTCATGATAGATAGTTGCTTCAGTGGGATGATTTGCCAACTTATTTTCTCTCACTTCCTCACATTCTTCTCTGATGTGGCATCGGTCAGAGGATAAGAAAAAGGTTCCATTTAAAGAAGCCCATTTCAGGTGCCACAGAGAGAGCTCTGGGCAAGTGCTACCAATTTAGAGGCTTCCCAGTTTTGCTGAGGAAAGACATTTAGCCTGAAGTCTTTCTGAGTCTCTGGCAGGTCCTTCAAATCTCTCACAGAAAAATGTCGAGAAAGTAGGGAGCTGAATCTCCAATGGCATCTGATTCTATACAAACAGGCATTCATGGGGATAAATTCTGAGTTCCCTGACTTCTCTTGAGAGGAGGGAAAAGCCCCACTGTGGACTCTTTTTTTTTTTTTTTTAATCCATATTTTCAATATTTAGATTTATCTTTTCTGATGCTTGTCGACTGAGGAGGAAGATCTGGTGGCAATAACAAAGATATGAAACCCCTATGTTCACTTTTTTTTAATGATGAAGAGTATATAAGGTATATAAAATAGACCTTTCCCAGTGTAATTTCAGAGCAGACATCCTCTCTGGTTCGTACAGAACCTAAGAGTTTTGCTTAAAAAAAATGTCTTGGCAAAATCTAGGAGCTAATTTGCATTGGTGTTGCATGCCCAAGAATACTTAAAACTTGACCTTTTCATTAAAAGTAAATACTGTCCAGGTAGAATTGTACCTGAAGGAAATCTGGGAATCCATCCTTGGAACAGGGACAAGAGAAACAGGAAGCCCTTCCCTTTATAAGCTAAAAACCAGCAATAATCATTATGGCAATTCTGCATTGAAGATGCAAAAACATACATGAGATGCTGAACTGGAAGGCAAAACATATTCAGAGCAATTGTTTTATAAAACCTAGAGATCAGTCTAGTACCACTAGGTCTGTCTGTTTGAGGAAGGGAAATGCCTGTCTGCTTGTCCAGGAATACAGCATGAAGTATACAAGAAGGCATATGGTTTCCTAAATACAAAAAGGCCCCATTTACTCGCTGAAATGCCTGAGTTTGGGAGAATTCTAACATACAGGTTACCTTTACCTCTTAAATTTGACTGCACTGAACAATTGGCTACAAACTTATTTTGTTCTTTTGTCTTGCTGTTCTCTATTGAAAAACTGGATACAGAATTACTGGCAGTCTTGCAGCATCTTTTAGAGTGCTTGTCAGCTGATATGTGTTACAAATGTTAACTGTGCATCTTTGAAATGAGGGCGGTTATCCCATTTACAAAAGCAAAATAACTGCTTTTGTTAGTGGTTTTCTCTTTTTGAAACAAAAGTTGTCTGATTTCTGTTGGGAAAAGATTTGAATTTTTTTGCCAAGTTCTATTCTAAAAGACCAACCTGGTGTAGACAGCAGGCATGGAAAGTTTTCTCTGAATTTGTTAGCATATTAGCATGACTGAAATCAGATATTTTATCAGAACTCTAAAGCAGTTTTGAGGATAAGCTATGCCTACACTAACTGTTGTGGTCAGATTAGCAACGATCTAGAGGAGGGGTGGTAATAGTTGTCCAAACGAGTGTTTTTATCATATTTCCCTGAATCTCTGAATAAAATTAAGAAATGTAAGAAGAAACATTTTTGTGTTTGCTATAGATTAGCAGTTTCTTGAGGACATTGATGGGTTTTCTCTTAGGTCAAAAATGTTTCTCTTTTTTTCTTAACACTGAACATTGAGAGGAGGATAGGCTGGCAGTACAGTCAAGGCTGCTGATACAGGTGAAAGCATTTCATTTTGCAACCTCACTACCTCTCCCCACTTCAAAAATAGCTTTCATTAAAACTCTGCTCCTTCATCTTTCCCCACTAAACCTGCTGCTGCATCTTGAGAAGCTGTTGGAGGCTTTCTCCCCTTCACAACTGTTCTCTAAAGGGAATAGTGCAAGTCAACCTTCTACCTCCATGTATTCAGTTCCCTGCCTGTTTATCAGGTGTGACTGACTGTGGAGCTGGATGAAGTGTTGCTCTACATCACTGACACAAGCAACTCTAGTTTCCTGGGAAACAAGTGCCTTCATTAGTGCTAAGACTATATTGTAGGCAACAAACTATTCTTACAGTTAGTGAGTAAGCATCACCTATCACATAAAAATAGAGTTCTGCAGTTTGGAAGAAATTATTACATGCTGAAGTATTGAAATGGTGGATGCTGTGAGGTTTCTGGATGGGTAAATTAGATGCAGGAAAAACAAATTTGCAAAGGGAAAAAAAAAAAACAAACCTCTGGAATACTTGCCAGCATGGGCTTAAGGGGTAAACATTAATAATAATAATAATAAATATTCTGCAACCTGCAGTTGTTTGTAGTATTTGCACTACTGTCCTATTTCAAATACTTCAATAATTTATGAATTCAGAGCCATGTGTTTTGCTTTTTTTATTTTCTGTTACAGATCTGGAGTCCGTATAAACAGCCTGACTGCACAGGGGATCTAGATGGTAGAATTGAGGATGATTCGCGTTGCCTCTACACTCACGAAGAGTACATCAGTCTTGTGTTGAACAGCGGTAGTGGTTTGTCACATGATTATGCCAACCAGTCAGTGCAGGAGGACCCACGGATGATGGCCTTTTTTGACTCCTTGGTACGCCGAGAGATTGAGGGCTGGAGTTCTGACTCTGACAGCGACCTCAGTGAGAGCACCATCCTGCAGCTCCACGCGGGAGTAAGTGAACGCTCCGCTTACAGCGAGTCAGAGTCCTCCGCCTCTTTGCACCACTCCCCACCACACGTGGCTGAAGAGTCTGCTGAAACTGCCTACAACTTAAGGGCCTTAAGATCAGCTGAGTCCCCCTCGGGCAGAGAAGACATGGCTTCCCGTCAGCAGAGGCTCTCAGCACTGAGAAAGTATCAGGATAAGCGTCTGCTGGCCCTCTCCAATGAGTCTGACTCTGATGACAATACCCATGAGGCAGAATTGGACACGGACCTTTTCCCACGGCCACGATCCCCAAGTCCTGAGGAGAACGAGTCTAGCAGTTCCAGCAGCAGCAGCAGTACAGAAGATGAAGAGGAACTGAATGAACGACGTACATCCATGAGGCAACGCAATGCGCTGAGGCGCCGACAGAAGGTGCAAAAGGAAGAAAGGACTTGTACTAACACAGAGAATGTGACCCCCTACATAGGTGAGGATATATATGATTACCCCCAGATCAAAGTAGATGATCTTTCTTCTTCTCCAGCTTCTTCACCAGAAAGGAATTTAGCCAACAAAGAAGTTCTGAAAGAAAGGACCTCTCCTTGTTCAGACAATGAATCAGTGGAGAGAAAGATTTATAAAGCCTACAAATGGCTGCATTATTCTTACATATCATATTCAGCTAATAAAGATGGTGAATCCTCCAGAGGAGATGTGGTGAATGATGAAGGGAAACCAGGAACTAGTGGAAGGCACAATACAGCACACTCGCTAAATAAGGAAGATGCCAGGAACTTGAGTTCAGCAGTTCCTCAAGGTTCCCCAGTTCTTTCTACTGAAAACCACAACAAAGAAACTTTAAAAGAATGCGGTTTGGTGGAAAATTCTAGTAATGGTCAAACTCATGAATGTGACAATCAGCGGTGGATGGAGGGTCAAGAAAATGCATCTGAAGACACTACCAGTGGAGGTACGGAGCGTTCTTTTGAGACTAAAAAGCTCAATGGAAAAGCTAACTGCAAAGGGCTAAATAGTTGTACTGAAGAAGCTTGCATTCAGACTGCAGGACTTGTGGAACAGAAAAATAGTCAGAACTGTCAACCAGCATCAAGCCATCACTCACTGGTCCCTCCGTTCTCTGCTGTTGCCATCTGCAGCTTGTCAGGTCACTGCTCCAGAAACCAGACTGATGACAGTGAGGAAAGGAGCCTCGACGCTTCCTGTGTTAACCACAATAACGGCCACTTGCATCTTCGCCCTTCATGCTTCAGCAATGGACAGAGTTTTGGAGAACAGGAGGCTGTGATTCAAGGACTACAGGTGCACTCAAATACTGATAATGGCAACCTTGAGCAGATGGTTGTGACCTTGCACAAAGACTGCTGCCTGTCTGAAATGGACTCCAACAGCTACAATGTGAGCACAAGAGAGGATACTGCTGACTTGCATCCTGCAGGCAGTGAGAGCGCTCAGTCTCGTGGAGGACTGAAAAGACACAGAACGGAGCTGGAAGATGCAGATTCAGAGAAATCATCCTTAGAAAAGAAGTTAAAAACATGATAAATGCAAATGTCTGTCGTAGTGTGCACTCTCTCTCAAAAAAAAAAAAAAAAGAAAAAGGAAAGTATTAAAGGCACATAGAGCTTGGATCTGAAACATTGCGTTTGATTCTCCATTCCATTCTTCAGTGGGTCTGTTTTAGATTGCCAATGGTTCATGCTGTATAAAAATCCAACTTACTCCTTAATGAGACTGAGTCTAGTGTACCCATACAAGGTTCTGTTTAAAGTAAATCCTTATTAAGACGGTTGACTGAATTATTCTTGTGTGAACATGTGTCTTTTGTTCAACCAGCCAACCAGGATGACTGCTTTAAGTTTTAATTGTTCTTCTTAGAAGGAATTTTTCCATTCTGACACTTATTACATATTACAGACTGAAGAATGATTGAATTAGATCACATTGGTGGTAGCTTGGGCTGTGTTTCTTGTTGAGGAAAATGAGGAATAAAGCTTTCTGGCCTCTTTATTCTACTTCAGATGCTGAAGAACTGCAGCCCTTAGGGTGGATGTTTTCACAGCTTACTAATACCTTGAGAGATGATGCTTCATAAAGCTCTTGCGTCTGATACAGTTCAGTGACATTTTCTTTTTATGCCAACAGATAAGCTATAGGAAGTGAGCCTCTTTCCAAAATCAACTTCAGACTGTTCCCATGGTGACATTCAATTTTGTGGGTTTTGTTAAAGAAAATAACAGAATAGCACAGTGTTATCACTACTGAAATGTAATTGTTTGGCAAGAGGGTATTATGCTGCAGGCCTCGCTCTAACCAAGGGCTATCAAAAATCAGGCTCTTAGGCATGCCTTTCTGTGTGCTTAATGCACGGTGAGTCGTCATTATTCAGAATACAGCTCTGAATGCTGGGATGTACCTTGACTATGCCCATATCTCATTTCTGGGGGGCAGCAGGCCGAAGAGGCAAGAGTGGAAGGACGGAGATTGTGATGCCAGCACAAGTGGCAGCACGCAGTACAGTCTGAAAACTGTTGTTAAAGCTTTCTCAGCTTGAAGGTGGTTGGCAGTGGAGATCAGGCTGGTTTTCTACAAGTGCTGCCAACATTTAAAATGGCAGGTGGTGAGATGAGCTCCACTGCAATGTGAGGTGCATGCAGGAGGCCTCTGACAGAGTGACGCTGTGTGAGCATGCCAGAGAGCAGCACCAGTGTCTGCCCTGGGAGCTACATCCATCACTGTCCAGTGCCTGTTTATAATGGAGCATCCAGTGAAACCTGGCAGGCCTCAGTCAGGGGAGCTGTGCTTGCTTTCCTGGCAACAAGGTAAGAAAATTCAATGCATGACGGGAAAAGAACCCACATGTGAAGGCTGTACCTTGTAGTGCTGGCAGGACAAAACATGCTGCTGTTGACCTGGTAGTTGTTACAGGCTTTCAAGCCCCGCACTGACATAAGACTGGCTTACCTTAAGGAAAAGGAGGTTTTTGCTTTAGATAGGGCTCTAGCAGTACAAGCCCATCAAGCAGTGGTCTCAGAATAACTCTTTCCTATAGCCAGCTGCCTGCTATGTGAGGAAGGGAGCAAGTCACCCTGTTAAAACACAATGAAAGGAGAACTTTAGAAGAGATGCTAGGAGGTTAAGTGATGAGAGGGAGGGTGAGTGTGAGCCAAAAACATGTAGCAGCTACTGTGTTTGGGCTGGTTTTCCCATGCCTGATCAGCTTTGCTAGGTGAGAACTTAGAATAAACATGTGATGCAGTATTTGAGAAGTATGTAAAGAGGCTGGAAGGGATGTTTCCAGACACCGTTGCAAGTGGCATTAATGGAGTTGATACACTGCTCCCTTACTGACAAAATCGTTCTGTATTGGTTATATTTTAGATCACTGCAATCAGCTGTAGGAGTGTTTTACTTGGTTGTATAAACATATTACTGTAAATGCTATCTTCTAGCTAAAATATTGTTTGCTGTGTCAATTTTTTCTTTTGAAGTAAGCTCTTTATATTGAAAGGATTTTCTCTCAGTACAGTTGTTTTTCCTGCCCTCCTCTGAAGAATGCCCAGGTTGCTATTGAGAGCATCCCAGCTCTTCTTGACATGGCCATGGCCATGGCCATCTTTTCTCATCATTTCCCAAACACCTACCTTGTGGGCTTATTTTGTGGTTCTTGTCTTTGCCTCCTTAAGCAGAACAGAAGCTCCTTGCTTTTGTGTTCATGCTCTCCTACAAGCATAGGGCATAACAGGTTTGCTGTGCTTCCCTGAGGCAGCCTCCCATGTTGTCTGCATGCTGTTGTTTCTGGTTTCTGTAGAACAGGAGCAGGAAGGTAGGTCGCAGTCTTAACCTTTTGTTCACAGGAAGTTTCACTGCATGCAGGATTTTGTAGTTTCCAAATCAGCATGTTCTCCTTCTTGCAGAAATAAATAATGTTATCAGTACTGGGCAGCTATGCTATCTGGAAAAGGCAAAAATAAATTTAAGAAATTAAAAAAAAAAAAAAAGGAGAAAAGAAGCATGTCTGCTACAGGTGGACAACAAGAGCTTCTCTGCTCTTCAGAAGTTGCTTTGCTTCACCACTGACCCATGTGCAGAGCTCTGCCCCTCCCTCCTGCTCAGCTGGGGGCTGTTCTGTGCCGGCAGTTCCCCATTCACCAGATCAGAGTGCTGCTGGATTCTTCTCTGAGGTGAGCAGCTCAGTGAAGGTGGTGCTTTGCCATCTCGGGTGGCTGTGTCTGATAGACAGGGCTTGTTCAGAAAGGTGCAGCTGACCTGAGAAAGGGGGAGCATGGGATTTGACCATGGGTGCATCAGTGACAGTGCTCTGAAGGCCAGCTGGCCTCAGTTGTACTAATTGGAAAGGACACCTTATTTCAGAATCTAATTCTCTCCTAAAACTAGTGTGTTTTTTTTTCTTAAACTTTGTAACACAACACTTTAAAGTAATTGAAACCTGATCCTAATGCCTATGTAAAAGCTCTGTCAATTGAAAACTGGAAAGCCATTCTTCATGAAATACGGCAAAGAAGATGAGCAGCAGTGAGGACTGCTTCTGGGGTGTTGTACTTCTCTGTGTTATCGCATCCTAGATCTCTTGTGCCCATCAGAAGCCAATGTGGCTTGATGTTGAGGTGGTCTTGGGATGCTTTCGTTTTGCATGAATAAGACCAGATTCCTTCATTGAGTTAAAGTTATAGAATCATCGAATGGTTTGGGTTGGAGGACCTTTGACATCGTGTAGTTCCACCCCCCCCCCCCCGCTATAGGCAGGGACATCTCCCTCTAGGCCAGGTTACTCACAGCCCCATCCAGCCTGGCCTTGAATGCCTCCAGGGAGGGAGCACCCCCAGTGCCCCATGTTAGCAAGCTTTCCTAAGTTACAGGGGTGCTGCTGAAGAATCCCTGCAGCCTGTTAGCACAGTTGACCGCATCATTCAGGAGTGGGCTCTTTCCTTCTTTTGTCCAAAATGCAAACCAAGGTAGTTCCAGCAGTACAAAAGCAGGGCTTTGAACACATCTCTGTGGATTTATAGTCAGTGAGAGCGGAAAATGCTCTTCCTGCCTTCTCCACTATGTGCAGCACTTTTTGGCCCATAGAGCATCAGAGAGATACAGACCTGGCCCTGTGCACGACTCATTTCTCTTGAAAGGGCAGTTCAAGGGTTGTCTGTTATTTTCCTGTAAATGTGTGATTCCTTCCTCCTGAATGAGTACATGAGCTGCTGCTTGTTGTGTGATATGGCTGGAAATTGCTGATTTTCGATCTCATGAATATGTTTCCATTCAGGCTTAGTGTGAAGCATAGGCCCCCACCTACATGGTGCTGGAATTGCTGCATGGATGCAGATTGGCATTGGTGCTGCTTTTAGAGCTCATCTGAGTCACTGCATTGCTGAAGCGGGCAGTAGAAATGAGTAAAGTCATTTCATGTGTTCCTATGAATAGTCCAAAAAAACCAAAAGCCTGAGTATGAACTTTGTGACCCAATGGTGTCGCTGGCTGTAGGCACAGCACTTGTGTGCTCAGATATTAGCAGGGCTGCTCATTTCCAGGCACGCTACCCCTGGGACTGTGTTACTATGAGCTGCTGGTCTGCAGGCCTCGACGATAAAAACCATGGCTGCTTACAGCAGCGTTAGCAGCCGAAGCCACTGCTTCCCAGGCATTCTGGTGATTTGCATTCTACTCATTTCAAAACAGTAGACCATATGTTCTTTGGGAAAGTCTTGTGTGTGCATCCTACTTCCAGAACGAGGACTAAAAGGGCCAAGTTCTGCTTTTTTTGGAAGAAAATTGGCTTTGAAGAAAGCCTGGCCTATGTTTTGGAGGAGCCTTGGCTTAAGCTCAGCATTTAAGTTTAGATCCTAATGGGATAAATTCTGAACTCTTTAGGAATATACAGCTGAGAGAGAGAAAATGCATGAACTTCCAGAATTAATTCTAGCAGAAAAGGGGAAAAGGAACTAAAATGTGTTTAAAATGAATAAGCCAGCAATATCCCCATACCCTACATACCCATTGATTCCTGGCTGAAAATTCATCAGCTGCATGACAATCCGACTCTTATGAGCCAGATAAGCAAAGGGTTCTTAGTAGCAAGCAGAGCTTGACTGAGGTTTCCCTGTCAGCTGCCTAATGGTGTCTTTTTCCTATAGCTGCCTGGGTTAGCCTTGTATCAATTAGGACTTACTAACGAAAGATCTGTAGTGATAGACACTTTTAGTTCACATTTGCCTTTGGACCTCAGGAGGAAGTCCTGGGATTTCAGGGTGATCTTTACGCAGCCTGTTGAAATGAGGAAAGAAAAATAGGGCATCCTTGCAAGTGGAACAGAGAAACTCCAAGGCAAGAACTGCCTCTCACTTGCTCTTCTCCTTTCTGAGAGTTCCACTCTATATTGAGGAACCTAATTCCTCTTTCTTCCCTCCAGACAAAGACCTCAAAGGGCATACAGTGCCCCAGGGAATGGCAAGCAAAAATGAACCTTGCAGTACTCTGCTCCAATGACATTTCCTGCCTGTGATGGTCAGATCTGGAATTTCTTGCTTGGATCATATCCTTGAATACAATTTTCTCCAAAGCATGAGAAATGTCTTGATTCTCACTGATGCAACCTTGGGGTGGAGAGAAAGGCAGGTGATACAACCTGGAATGGAAGGATACCTGTGCTTCAAGCTGTATATGAGTCCTCCCGAAGCTCTCAACATTACTGGGTTTTGATGGTTGGCTCTGCCATGCTATTTGCTTCTGTGCCCATGGGGATGGAGAACAGCAGCAGCCCTGTATTTCTTTTTAATTCAGT